GGACTGAGCATAATACACTGGCTGATACAGCCTCACGTACGGGACTGAGCATAAATACATTGGGCGGGATACAGCCCTGCGTACGGGACTGAGCATAATACACTGGCTGGATACAGCCTCACGTACGGGACGGAGAATAATACATTGGGTGGATACAACCTCACGTACGGGACTGAGCATAATACATTGGGCGGATACAGCCCTGCATACGTGACAGAGCATAATACACTGGGTGGATACAGCCCTGCGTACGTGGCTGACCATAATACACTGGGTGGATACAGCCTCACGTACGGGACTGAGCATAATACATTGGGTGGATACAGCCTCACATACGGGACTGAGCATAATACATTGGGCGGATACAGCCCTGCGTACGGGACTGAGCATAATACACTGGCTGGATACAGCCTCACGTACGGGACGGAGAATAATACATTGGGTGGATACAACCTCACGTACGGGACTGAGCATAATACATTGGGCCGATACAGCCCTGCGTACGTGGCTGAGAATAAAACACTGGCTGGATGCAGCACAGACCACATGACGGAGCATAATACACTGTGTGGATACAGCCCTGCATACGTGGCTGAGAATAAAACACTGGCTGGATGCAGCACAGACCACATGACGGAGCATAATACACTGCGTGGATACAGCCCTGTGTATGGGGCTGAACATAATATACTGGATGAATACAGCCCAGTGCATGTGGTATAGAGGCAGACAGTTATCACCGGAGCTGTGGATCAACCCAGACAAGATGTACACCATGTTCTCCCACCACCATGGCTGTTCCTATAGTCTACCTATGCATTGTGGGCACCACCACCGTGGTTGTTCCTATTGCCTGCTTATGTTATCTGTCATAAACACTTACCAATGACAATAACAAAGCTTGTATTTGTGTTGTCCACTTGCAAGACTGGTCTCTCACTCAATTCTGACTCAAAGCATATAGTCACTTCAAATAGTAGTTTCCTCACTACCTTCGTGCTCTTTTGCTATGCAACTGTAGGTTTTTCTGTGATTGTGTCCGGAATTCGCAATGTTCGTGTACGAGTTATGTCACGTGATACTTTCCAAATCGAGTATGTCCATGTGCGCGTATCCTCGACCCGCTGAATATTAAGGCGGCACCGTTGAACTATTTCTACTCAGGTAACATGCGACGAAGTAATAGGCATATGTTAGACTTATTAATGGGACTATTACGAGCCCGAACTATGTAGACTAGTCTACTTCGCAATGTTACTCTTCTTCTGGACCTTTCGAGGGCGCCTGAAGGACATCAGTTGAAGACAGGTGATAGGCACAAGAGGAAACACACATACTTGGATTGAAGTGCGGACTTGCGTTTTGTGCCAGTCGCAGCACCAGCATCGTCGTTCACGCCCGGGGACTGAAGCGCGGACTCCGACTTGAACAGCTCAAGCATCCACTTGACGTCGTCACACGCTGCGTCAAAGTCCGGGGGAAGTGGGTCAGAGGTGGTAAGGCACCAGGCGAGACAAAGAACGGCCATATAGATCCCGTTCTTCCCAGGCTTCCGCTCCGGCCAGACGACAGGGTCGCTGCCAGGGACTTCGCGAGGGAAAGGCCAGGCCTCAGTGTCGCGCCAATTGGGTTGCAAGTTTCCCCACCAGCGCAACCACTGGTCAAGATGCGTAGCGCTCCCCCCAATGGGGGATGGCTTTGCCAGCTTGCGGGCACGGGAGACCCAGTGACTCACGGCCTTGGGTTGTCCCGCAGCATTAAGTACTGCCTACACACCGGCGACGGTCAATGACAATAGAAACCGGGATCAACACAATGCTCACCGTAGAGTTGAAGTCGTCACAACTGATTTCGAAACGAATGTACGCCATGAGAAGTTCGTGGAAGGCGTTCGACTTCCCGTCATTGAGCGCGAGAAGATATTTGATGGAATCTTTGAACCAAGCGACAGGATGGGTCGATGCTGTAGCCAAGTCCTGGTCAACGTCCTCGGGCTGCAACGAGGGAGGAGTTGGCGACGTGGAGCCAGGGCATGGCTGCTGCGTAGGAGGGGGGGGGCTAATGGACCGCGCAGTGGAAGGGGTCGCTGACGTTGGCGAACTCGGGAGATCCTGTTGCGGAGAAGATGGTGGTGATGTCGTCTCTGCAGATGCCTTCTCCGGGATGGGCGATTTCATGGCCCTGGATGGTTCCCCACTCGTCTGAGCGGGGACCTTTGCAGTCTCAATAGGTGCCTTCTCAGGGATGGGTGACTCCATGCCCCCCGACGTTTCGGCATTCGCCTGAGTGGGGACCTTCTCAGCGACAGGGCGAGGTTCAAGATGCTGAGTCGTGCTGGAGGCCTTCGTGGCAACAGAGTTGCGTTTGCCATCTTCGCTGGTGTCGTCGTCGTCGTCGTCGTCGATGATTATGACTTTGCCGGGGTTCGAGACTTCAAGTGACGCGTTGCTATCTGGCTCCTGCTTGACCGATGATTCAAGAGATAAGGCCGCGCATTCCTTTGCAGCTGTGTCAAAGAATGAGTACGAGTCGATTGCGGACAGGTTATACGAGGACTGACTGTACGATTGTTCTACGAACTTGCGGAATTGGTCAACGACGTTCGACTGAAAGCCTGGGCAGTGGTTTTCGAACTTTGCACCCTGAATGGTCTTGCCGACGCTGAGACTGCAGCAAATTTCAGTTAATCTAGCGACGAGGCAAGATGTAAGCCAACTCACGATAGCGTACCCAACTCCCCTCCTCTACTCGGATACGGCCCTCCACTGATGATAAAAAAATGCCATCCAGTTTGTTGCTCAAGACTTTCGAGCGCGACTCGCAAAGTATGAGGAAGGTTGTTGAGTGCGCTGTAAAGATGAGTGGGAGGAACGACGCGTCGAATGTGTTAACTCACTCTTGTATCTTCCTCGCATGGTTCAGCTCTGGGCTATCATCTTCGTCCGGACCGTCATCGTCGTCTTCAAGGTAGCCATGCTCTCGATACTCGCGGACTAGCTTCACTGTCTCGGCGTCGAGGTGCTTCAGGCGCTCCGACATCCACCGCTGTAGGTAGACAAAGGACTTGACCGGTGTCTCGAGCTTCTCCAACTTCTCTTCGGTGTACTTCTTGTAGTCGGCCGTATACTCGTCGCGCCAGTCATTGAGCTTGACGCGCGACAAGGCTTGCCAGAGCTGAGGAGCCTTCCGTGTCTTCTTCGTACTCGAGGAGAGGTCAAGGACGCGTGGACGACCAGTACCGCCAGGTATGCCCTTCGAGCGATAGTTCATCCAGCTCTTGACGCGCTAACGTATGGTGGTTGTCAGTGTTGAATACGCTAAAGATTCTGCAGTACTCAACTCACCTTCTGTTCCTTGGCAGTACGCTCAACCACAGAGCTCAGCGCAAACGCCTTGCGAAGGTCGCCATCGCACGAAGCTAACTCATTTGCTGTAGGCTCCACAGGAAACTCTCTGAAGTACTGGGCAAATAGGTCGAGCCAGAAATCAGCGACGGCCTCGCGACGAAGTTGTCCAGGGGGCATAGAACGTCGAATGTTCTTGAAAGGCTCCAAGAACTTCGTCAAAAACCGGGATATATCGTCGTCGGCCCAGCTCTTTCGTCCCATGGTACGGCAAGGAATCGGCAAGAAATGCAAAGCGCAGAGTTTGAGCTTGTGTACGGAGTCGCTAGTGAGTCCAGACATACCTTGACAAAGTCCTCTGCCTTATAAACTCTGCAGCCGTTGCGGCAGCTCTTTCCACAACATTCGATGACAATCCGAGCGACGCCAATACCGGTGACGAGCTAAGTGGTGTTGCTAGCCGGAGACGCGGAATATTTGCGCTAATGTTCAGCTGTTAATTTTTTTGTTTCAGGTTGCGCCGTGCGCTCAACACCTTTCGCGTCTAAAATTCTGATCGGCTCAGATCTCCGGTGAGCAAAGAACTTTGATCGCGATCATGAACACGAAGCGTGATTTCTTACGAAATCCAGCGGCCGTATTGCTGTCACATATACCAAACATTTGCAGTCCAATCTTCCCCCTTCCCTCCTTCCACACCCACACAATAAGCTCTCGTCCTGTCCAACATCTCTCGCCCACCTTCTTGTCAACTGGCACCGTATGGTCCATAACAGGCGCAGAGAGGTATGCCTACTAATTTATGAACGCTCGTTTCTAACGATCGTACAGGCAGCGTCGCCTCCGGGACATCAAAGTGCAATGTTGATGGACGAACTCGCTGTTCATGTTGAGGGTCTAGTTGCCACTTTGGACCGCATGAGGCTCGGTAAGTCTCCTCGCGCTACACTGATCCTATCGTCCTCATGATTGTTAACAGCGCAGGAGGCGTTGCCGACTCAACAAACACCCTCATCCGATATTGACTCCGACTCTGACGCGGAAGATTTGGCACGGCTGCGCTGCGAAATGATGCCTGCCACATCAAATTCGGGTACCATATCCGAGGATCTCACTTCTCGCCGTGCCGCGCATGTGGCTCTTCGCAACACAGGTCACTCCAGCTCCCACAGGCTGACCACCGAACGTTTGCGTACCTTTGAATCGGCTAACTCCCGCAGCGCGCCCGTCTCCCCTGTACGCCCTCGGACAAGGGCGCCAGTTGCTAGAGAAGCCCTTACACGGTTCTCGAACACTCCCCGTCCCCCTGCTTTCCCATCGGCTATCGCATCCCCATGTGGCACTCCAACTTCCCAGCGCGACCCTTCGTCCATGCAGGTGCCTCGCTTCAGCACACCGGGGTCATCGCGCAGCCGCGTCAGGAGTGTGCCCAGCGTTGCTCATGGACTGGCACTCGGCGCTAATGTTGTGCACAACACGTCTTCCATCCCCGTTACTGCCCGCAACCTAGGCTTGAGCAGAGATGCGCCACCGCCATATACGGAACAGACACCGTGTTCGGACAATTATGCACCGCCCCCCTCCACGCCCAGCTCGTCTTATGGAACGTTTGACACCATTCCTACCGGATCAAGCTCGTCTGGGAGCTCGTCTTCCCGTGCATCATCTCGTCGGTCCGTACCTGCAGTGCCGCCGCTGCGGAACATTGGCACATCGCGGTCAGATGCACCTAATCACGGAGTCCTTTACTACCACTACCCTCGGCCAGGCCATATTCGCGGTAAAAAATACATCACCGTCACTGTCGGACGCGAGGTCGGCGTCTTCGCCAACTGGTATGCTAAAATTTGAAATGAACGATAGAGTTTCAAGTACTGATTATCATTGTAGGAATGAAGCCAAGCACTACGTCATTGGATGCCCTGACAATGCTTACCAGGGCTACCGCACGCTCGAGGATGCACACGACGTATTCCTGCAAACTTGGAGGGAGGGTAAAGTCCGCGAGGTTCCATATTAGATTTACTTGATGTATCGCGTCCGAGTTCCACGCAATAAAGTACGATTTTCATGCCGTTCTTACGTATATGTGCAGTGTGGTAACGAGGACCCGGAAAGGCGAACACGGAGAGGACATTCAGATGTCCTATGATAAGGAACATACTACATGTAGATACTTGTGTATTGCCTATTCTCGCGTTCCGGTACCAGATACACTGAGCAAAGATGTTAGTTCTATTTGAGGTTCAGAATAGGCTATGGAACAGGATATATGGCAGACATATCGCACAGCGGAGGAGTGTTGTCCATGATTGGGCAGTTGGTCGGTGCCGCTTCCTGGAATGTCAACGTTTGCCAATGATCGATCACCAGTTGTTGTGAAGTCAATACGCTCAACCAGCATACCGGAATACGAACACAGTGTATACAATACGGCGTCATAGTTGATAACTATTGGAATACGCTACGGCGTCATAGCCGATAACCATTGGAATACGCACCGGTATCGTATGCTTTCACTCAGAGGTCGAGGAGAGACTCGGGCACTCTCAGCGCAAATTCTGTAATATGATGGCATTTCAATTATTCTTTATCATCCGTGTCTACATTTCTACGACACCGGCTCTCATTGCACATGCCCTTGTGTGATTCAAAGGCATGCAGCGGCAACCAGTTGACGGCACTGTGCGGACAACTTCAATCAAGGCCTGTCTTATCGCAGCATGAATACCCATCGTTTGCATCTAAGCCCAGCTACAGCTTAGATTAGACACGATATCCAACCTTATTCCTCCCCTCAGCACTCACCGATCTTCACTCAGGCGATAAACAGTTGAGCGAACTGAGAAGGGCAAGATCGTGCATGCATCAGCATCACGTGCATGCATCTACTCTTGCCAGCGACTTGCCTGTCCCCGGTCGTGCTCATGATTACTGGATATCCATTACTTGAAGACAGCGTAAGATGACGCGCAGCAGTACCCGGAAATCAAGTAAAAAGAGAGGGAGAAGCCCTCTCGCTCGATTTAGGTTCGGCGGCGGTGCCAGCAAAAACAGCGAAACGATCGAAACAACCTCAATGCACGTAAGTCATGGCTTCGCTCACGCATTGCAGACTCCGATATCCCCTGCAGATTATCTCCCGAGGACGTGTGGCTGGCGCAATGCGAAGCTTGAAACGCGAACACGATCCTGAGCCTCCATCACCAGAGTCAACTTCTGAGGCTTCGCAGTCTATGCCAATCGAAGGTCCACTGGCTTCCGACGACTTTGACATCTTGGACGAACAGTCAACATCTTCTCACCCGCCTCGCAAGAGGATTCGCCTCACGAGGACGAAGAAGACCATCGGAGTGCGTGATTAGTGCTCCTTGTCGCTTTCACTCATCGTTCTGATGTCAGGTTCTTCGCAATCCGTAGTTTCGGATGAAGCTCTGGCTGCCTCACCGGGAGTCCTTTCTTGATGCTGTGTGTCGACACGAGGCGTTACCTATGCCGGATGTAGCACCATGTACGAACTGCACGAAGATCGACCATCCGGGCGTGTATCGATGCCATGATTGCCATAGTGGTGTCATGCTCTGCCGCTTGTGTATTGTGAATATGCATCGGTTACATCCTCTGCATAGGATTGAGGTAGGCCGTATTCCGACCGTCTTCAGTTTCTTGCCATCGTGTTCATCCGGAATCAGGTATGGAATAGGCGGCATTTCTGGCCAGAGACGCTCGCAGCTCTCGGATTGAGGGTGCAATTAGGCCACGTCAACGGGTCAGCTTGCACCAACCCGGAGCAGGGACCTAAGGACTTCGTCGTGTTTGACGCGAACGGCTATCACCCTGTCAATGTGCTCTTCTGCGCCTGTCTCGGGCACCAACCTCACCGCGAGCAGCTGCTCGAATGTCGATGGTATCCAGCCTCGGTATCACGCCCTCAAACCGCGTTCACCTTTCGATTCCTTGACGACTTCCATCATCTAACACTGCAAGGCAAAATAACCCTCCATGACTACTACTCCAGTGTGGTGAACCACACGAATAACGCCGGCCTAATGCCTCCTATAGTAAGCCTAGCAAGCAACTCCGCGTTCTCTCTTTCTTACACAAAAGTAGTTCCGCTACCACGAAGCGACGTTAGCTACGCGTCAATGGGCGCATCTCATGATGCTCAAGCGAGGGGGTCGTGCTCATGATCCGACGGGTATCTCGGGGACAAAGAAGGGCGAACTTGCATTGAGGTGCTTGGCATGCCCTATCGCCGGCGTCAATATCCCCGCTGACTATGCATCTCTGCCCGACGAGGAGAAGTACATATCTCATATGTTACCTTTGGCATTGGACATTAGCTGATACAGTATTCAGGTGGAAGTACGACCAATTCATCTCGCTGGATGCGTGCTTCCGTTTGAAGCAGAAGACGCGTAACATCGAAGAGGACCCTGACCTTGGCACCGGCAATGCGTACTTCGTCAATGCCGATGATTACCGAAAGCACGTCAGCTCCGTCACCGAAGAGGAAGAGGTGGGTCCGTTCTGTCATTGACACCCCTGGTTTTGCCCTGATTTCCCATAGGATGTTGCTGCGTGCGATACAACGTTCAATGCAATCACTCAGATGAACACCAAAAACAGCAGCAAGTTCTATGCTGTGTCTGGTGTTGGAGCGGCCAAGTGCGCTCGTCATGGACTGGTTATGCCGTGCGGTGTGGCAGACCTACAGAAGGGAGAACGGTAAGAGATCGCAATCTCGGATCACAAGTATTTTCTCACGAAGTCCAGTTACACGTCAATGGACTTCTTGTTCTGGACCACATTGCTGGTCGCAGGCATTGTCTCACGATTGGTTGTATCGTACGACATAGCCTGCAAGTGGTCCGTGAATCTCCGACGACGATTCGAGGCTGCCTTCCCGCCATCCTTTGCCGCACTTGCCAGCATTGTCATCCGCTTTTTCATACCCAATCTTCATATCAAAGGGCACGGAGCGAGATGTCAGACAAGATATAGCTTCAATGTCAATAGATGGGTTGCTCATACACACGGGGAGACGATCGAACAAGAATGGGCGCATATCGGCGCCGTCGCGACAAGTACCCGAGAAATGGCAACAAACGCGCGGCATGCGACACTCGACGATCATTGGGGCTGGTGGAACTTCCGTAAGATCGTTGGCTTCGGTGGGCATTCAAATTATCCGCTTTTATCGTGCGCTAATAGCATGTCACGTAGGCAAAAGCCTGCGGCTTGCTCTTCGCAGGACGCTTGTACAGCAAGAAGTTCACCAACAGATCTTCGACGCAAAGTGCGACACGTATCCTCCCGCCCTCGTCCAGAAATGGACAAGCATCGTCGAGGCCTGGGAGGCCGATCATACTAAACCGAACCCATTTGAAGAGGTTGAAGACAGTGAGTGTCAGTATTATGTTCTGACGTTTACGGCTCACCCGGTTTCCGTAGCCCTCACTTTCGCGCAAGTTCGACGCCGCCTTGCAGAAGAAGAGGACCACGCAGTGAAGGAAGGCACTCGGTCGTTACATAAGGTCACGGCATCCACAATGATCCGCAACTTGCTCATATTGGAGGAGCGACAGTGCGTTTCCATTTCTCTCTAGGTGAACCCTTGCTGACGGCTTTTTGCAGACGAATCATCCGAGCCGAGTGCAAGTCTGAAAAGAACGCATCTTCCGACCACGCAATGGCCGCACTTCGGGAACGCCGCACAGCCCTTCGCCAGGCTCTTGAAGAGATGTACGCCGTGCAGGATGTATACATGCCGAGCTGTACCAAGGCCCGAGAGGCTTATCTCAAGTGCAACAAGCATCTTGAGCCCGAAGACATCGATATTTATTTCCCCTCGCATATTCTTCGTCTGCGAGCCACTGCAGCCGCCGACCAGCCCAGTGACCCGAGCGCAACATGCACCGGAACCGACTTCCTACAAGGGGTCGCAGACAAGGAGCTTGCGCTGCGCGAAGCTAAGGCCGATGACTATCTTCGCACAATCCGTATCAACCTGCGGTCATTCCATGCTCTTCTCCGACGCTACCGAATCAACCCAACGGGCAAGGGCCTTCGACACGCAACACGTAACCGGGCCACCCTCGACAGCTTGAAGAAGAGAATCGACCGTGCCGCCGAGGGATATCGTGCGTGTTACGATGCGCTCACATTACTCAATCCCAATGGCGCCTGGAACTTGCGGCTTCGACCACTATTGACGAGCGACATCAAGGGCCCTGGTCGCGAACTGAACTCGACAGAGGGTCACCGCAACTACATCGAGTCGTGGATCTGGCATGTCCGCCCGAAATCTGCGCCTACGCGATACGGTGGCCAGGGACCCAACACGGCTGATGCACGGACTGAAGTCATCGACGACGACATCACCTCAGACCTCCACGAACTTCATGAGTGGGCTCATCAGCGAGCACGCGTTCGACGCTGCGATGAGGAGGTTGTCCTACTTGTGGAAGAGATGCGGCGGGTACTCGAAGGACTCAGCTATAGGGCTGCATGGTGGGAGAAACGGATTGGTCTCCGCGCAGGTGTTGACGATCGACTTGCGCGGGGGCTAAGTTCCTATGCTCACCGACAAGCGGCAATCCACCGCGGGCTTCTATGTACGTTCGTTGTACAATGGAAACCGGTGCTCGATGCCGCCAAACTTGGGCAGGATTGGATCCACAAGTGGCCAACATCCAACGATTTGACCCATCCGGGATGGCTCACGACGAAACAGCGGCGACGCATAGGAGGGATGCCGTGCGTTGCGGTAACGTCGATGTCTGTGGACGTCAACGACTTCACAACTTTGCTTCAGATGCCCGGACAGATGCCCGGCAGCGGCTCTATAGACGATACAGAGGAGTTAGAGTATGCCGATACGCGAGAATCGCTGGCGGATGGCGAAGCCGAGGAGGAAGAGCTCGCAGCAGAAGAGGATTTCGAGGAGTATGATGTCTATTCCGATGCCGGGTCTAACTATAGTGGCGAGGATAGTGGCGAGGACGAAAACGTATAGACTAGAATGTATGATTGCTTATACATTATGTCCTTCTCGTGAAGCTCTCGTCTGCGAGGATAAAATACTGGGCGGCTGGTATTCAGTGTTTCGATCACGTGACACAAAAAGGCATGACCGAAGTTTAAGTCGAAAACTATAATAAACAGGATCATCTAGTGAACAACAATGATTGCAGTTGTTACCATTGAGGATGACATGGAATAGGAGTGACCATGGTGGTGGTGCCCACAATACATAGGTGAACAGTCACAGTGGTGGGAGAACATGGTGTACATCTTGTCTGGGTTGATCCACAGCTCCGGTGATAACTGTCTGCCTCTATACCACATGCACTGGGCTGTATTCATCCAGTATATTATGTTCAGCCCCATACACAGGGCTGTATCCACGCAGTGTATTATGCTCCGTCATGTGGTCTGTGCTGCATCCAGCCAGTGTTTTATTCTCAGCCACGTATGCAGGGCTGTATCCGCCCAATGTATTATGCTCAGTCCCGTACGTGAGGTTGTATCCACCCAATGTATTATTCTCCGTCCCGTACGTGAGGCTGTATCCAGCCAGTGTATTATGCTCAGTCCCGTACGCAGGGCTGTATCCGCCCAATGTATTATGCTCGGTCCCGTACGTGAGGCTGTATCAGGCCAGTGTATTATTCTCCGTCCCATACGTGAGGCTGTATCCAGCCAGTGTATTATGCTCAGTCCCGTACGCAGGGCTGTATCCGCCCAATGTATTATGCTCAGTCCCGTA